CGTTTAAATACAGAACTCTATTCCGCCCCTTCACAAAACGCACCGTTGGGTCATTCAGACTTGACGTCCGAAAATCTTGAAAACGAAATGCAACAGTCAATAACATATCTTGATAAAAACGCAGGACAAATAATTCAATCCCAGAAGAAAAAGATTTTAGAAGCTTTAGGTTTACATCAATTAGTTAAGACAATTGTCCTCGTGGTTATTGGTAGCCTTATACTAATAGCAATTACCATATTATACTGCCAATCATTTTGCATACGCGCAATCATTAATCAAATATTTAGAGTAATAGCCGTAGCAATATCCTTTGTTTTTGCCTCGATCTGCAAGAAGCGAAATTCTCGCAGCCAGCGTAACGATTCGGCTAACCCAGACAGTAGTCAACCCCTGGTACGACTTAAGAAACAACGCCGAAATGCTGATGAACCTGCAACAGGTCGGGAAAGGATGAGCGTGTCTATACAGCTACCTCCAATAGACATACCTTTGGATAACCTACCATTATCGGCAAGCGAGTCATCATCTCGCACTCCAGCCGAGCGCAAGCCGCAGTTCCAAGAGTTCCCTGCACTCGAAATAAGCATAGTAGCTCGATGATTTACATTCCGACTACACTTAATGGCATTTCCGTAATAGCACTCTTAGATACAGGCTCTGCCCTTACCATCATCTCAGAATCATTAGCTCGTAAAACCAATGCCCAGGTCCAGCCCACTGCAACTACACAAGCTGTAGCAGCCAATGGGACTATTATAACATTCTTAGGTAAAATTCTCCTCTCTTTAGGAATAGGCGACAAAACTGTAAAAATAATTTGTTTCGTTGTACCAGACACAGTTTGTTCCTCTCCGTTCATACTCGGTAAACCGGTTTTCCTTATCGACCATACCACACTTCAACCATCAACAGACCATGCTATTTTGGGCATAACCAAAGACTCATTTCCCCAACATGGAGACTTTTTACATCTGATGACTTAGCGTATCACCTGACTGAAGGTGTATATGTTGGCAAAACACTATCTTACCCTAATATCCAAGGCACGGTCGTTGTAAGAATGTTCAACACTAATCATAACTGTATCACCCTACCAAGTAATAGCGGATTTTGCAAAGGAGTTACCCCAGTTTCCAAGCTCTTCACAACTCACACCGATTTTTGATCGTATTACGCTTAATTTTTAAGTTCTGCAAACCCACCATCTTCAGAAGTTTAAAGCAATTCTTGACACACTTCAAAGTACCGAAACAACTCCCATACCGAGTTCCTTCAGAAAAAGGTCAGGAAGTTGAAAAGCGAATTAAGTAAATGCTGAGAACAAATATCATAGAACCAAGTACCAGCAAATTTGCGTCCCCAATTGTATTAGTTAAAAAAGGTCCTAAACGAGACCAATGGAGATTAAGTGTGGATTACAGGCGAGTTAATTCAATTATAGAAACAGAAACGTACTGCATACCACATATGCAGGATATCCTCGACCTAGTAAGTGGTAAAGAACTGTATACAGTTCTTGATTTTAAGAGCGGTTTCTTTCAACTACCCCTCACGGAGAAACATAAGGAACGCTGTGCGTTCTCTCCCTTTTTAGGGTTATATCACTTTACCGAAATGGCCCAAGGTCTTAAAGGCGCACCCGCAAGCTTCCAACGCGTTGCGAATAGCCTAATTCGAGGACTAGGAGCATATATATATATATATATATATATATATATAGACGATGTTTCGCATATATAGATGATATCATTATCGCTAGTCAATTGGTGGACCAGCACCTTAGCAATTTAGAAGAAGTACTCCAACGCATAAGAGCGTTTGGAATGAAACTGACTCCAAGAAAATGTTCTTTTTTTCAAACGGAGGTTCTGTACCTAGGTGTCCTTATAAGCAAAAATGGCACTCGCCCAAACCCGGATACGGTGGCGAGCATAGCCAATATACCGCGTCTAGAAAACGTGAAAGCAGTGAAGTCCTTCCTAGGAGCAGAATCATATTTCCGACGCTACTTACCGCGCTTCTCAATCATCGCTACGCTTCTAAAT